CCGAGGCATGGAGAAGAGGACCAAACCTCCCTCCCACAACCAGGCTCACCTCACCAGTGCCTCGGGTCCCGACCAGGGACCCAGGCAATGTAGAAGCGGACCGGATCCCTCTCCCACAACCAGGCACACCACACCAGCACCTCAGGCCTGTCCGGGGACCTGAGGCATGGAAAAGAGGACCGGACTCCCCTCCCACAACCAGGCACATGGCGCCAATGCCTCAGGGCCTGTGCTGGGACCTGGGGCATAGAGAAGGGGACCAGACCCATCTCCCACAACCAGGCACCCCATGCTAGTGCCTTGGGGCCTGCCCAGGGACCTGGGGTATGGAACCAGGTACTGGAACCCCCTCCCACAACCAGGCACACCTTGCCATCACCTTGGGATCCGGGGCATGGTGAAGGGAACCAGATCCCCCTCCTACCACCAGGCACACCACACCAGTGCCTTGGGGCCTGCCATGGACCTGAGGCATGGAGAAGGGGACCGAAACCCCCTCCCACAACCAGGCACACCATGCCAGCACCTCGCAATCCACTCGGGGACCCAGGGCATGGAACCGGGGATCAGACACTCTCCACAACCAGGCACACTGCCAGCACCACGGAGCAGGCCAAAAACATGTCCCCCATGTGGGTGGCCCACCACAGCCACCATGATAACCATGGCTGCCGTGAAGGTGGCTAGATGCCACAGCCACCACACAGATGGGCCACCAGCCACTGGAGTGAACTGACACAAGGAGAGTCATCAGCAGAGATTAAAAAAAAAAAGGAGGAGGATGTTTGTCTCCACAGAGTCCATTTCATAGTGACGGAAGAGACATCTGCTTTATGATAATATTGGGGGACCTTATAACGCCTCTCAGCATTGGACAGATCATTTGGGCAGCAAATCAACAGAGTAACCATTATTCTTTCAGAAGAAAAGAAGAAATCTAGGGTTATTAGAGGGGGAGAGGAAGGGGGATGGGGTGGGATTGGACAAGGGGCATAAAGAATAATTACAATTTGTAACAATATATATGTAATATTGATTTGATCAACATATCTCAGTGTTGAACCCCGAAAATATGTATAATCAATTTTGATTCAATAAAAAAAATTTTTTTTAAAAAGGAAAAAAAAAAAGAAGAAAGTCATGAGAGGATGGAATCCCAAGAAAGGAATCATCGGTAGTGGCAATGTCTCAGAAAGCCTTCCTTTTGTTTAAAGCTAATCCACTGTGCTCTTGATGAGATACTGTCCTGTTTCCTCCAGAATCTTAACTCTATCAGTTAATTCTCTTTTTATATATATATATATATACACACACAGAGTTGATTCTCATTATTTGCAATAGTTAGGTTCCAGGAAGTCCCCTTGAGTACTCAACTGCTGCTCTTAGGGAAACAGAAGGTTAGGTTTCTAAGAGCTGCTGGTGACAACATTTTCATCAAATGATTAATACATAACCTTGTTTTATATGTATTTCTGTTTAAAGACACCTTATTTTGGGCTGGCCAGTTAGCTCAGTTGGTTGAAGTGCAGCCTTATAGCACCAAGGTCACAGGTTCAGATCCCTGTACAGGCCAGCCACAAAAAACAAACATAAAAACAAATAAACCCACACCTTATTTAATCTACATTGTCGATTCGCCTCCTTTGAATTCACAACCAACAGCACTATAATTCATGCCTGAATGAAGCTTATCTAACATATGTATTTTCTCCTTAAGGCACATCACAGCCTTCCTGTACTTAGAAACACTAGCCAGTACTTCACTTGGGGGTCATTTTAAACAGTGAAATCGGGCTGGCCGGTTAGCCTAGTAGGTTAGAGCATGGTGCCAATAACACCAAGGTCCAGGGTTCAATCCCTGTATCAGCCAGCTGCCAAAGTAAAAAGAAACATGTAAAAAGGGCCAGCTGGTTAGCTCAGTTGGTTAGCATGCATGCAGACTTATAACACCAATATCATGGGTTCAGATCCCCCAACCAGCCAGCCACCAAATGAAAAACAAAAAAAGTGAAGGTCCCCCTGCTCAAAGCATACATGAGAATAAGAGAGGTAACATTACATAATGGTCAACTAAATGATCTCTCATCAACAATTTGCAAGACAATACTCTAAATCTGTGGTTGTCAACATGAGACAACTCTGACATAACCCTCCCTACCACTCAGACTTTTGGCATTATCAGGAGACATTGTTGGTTGTTATGACCTGGGGGGCGCTACCGGCATCTAATGGATAGAGGGTAGGGATGCTGCTAATTCTACAATGCACAGGACCACTCCCCCCAAACAAAGAATTATTCTGCCCAAAAATGTCAACAGTGTTGAGATTGAGGTCCTGCTCTCACAAATTCTATTGATCACATTTAACTTGAATGTTAACTTGAGTGCGTTCAAACTCAAACATGAAGATAATGAATAGATAGTGGCTGAGAAACCACAACATTGTTCAATATTAGTCATCTTTTCCTCTACCCTTTTGGACTTCTGAACAGAATAGCTGGTGGGACTGGGGCAGAAAAATTAAAGAGGAAGTAATTTGCAAATGAGTGGTTTTAAATGCAAATGTTACAATCTATACACATATGCTAGCCGTTGATGATTTGGATGACTGAAATGATGAAATTGTTCTAATTTTGCTTTATAATTTACAGGTTTGAGAAAAATAAACTATCAAATATTTATTAAAATTAAGAAATCCTAGCAATCTTAACAAAACTTATTAGAGATATGGAGTCATCAGCAAATTCATACCAATGACCCAAGGGAGGGCTATGTTTGCTAGAGGCTACACCTTCCCAATTCCTGGTTCCAGGATGCATCCACTGGAGTGGGGACAGTGGTCTGGATCTCAGTTCCAGCTCTGCCCCTCACTGACTGGATAACATAGGACAAGTCACAATCTTTCTATACTTTGTCTTTACATGTGCTAAACGAATTTTTTTCTAGCTAACATTCATTCTATAATTGTATAAAGAGAACTAAGGCTCAGCTGGCTGGTTAGCTCAGTTAATTAGAGCGCAGCCTTATAACAAGGTCATAGTTTGGATCCTGGATAGGCCTGTGGCCAAAAAAAAAAAAAAGAGAGAGAGAGAGAGAACTAAAGCTAAAAATGACTAAGGCTCATATACTTAATTTTTCTCTCTTCTCATTCTAAATTATGCCTTCTTCTGAAACATGTTTTATCTTTTCCTTTCTCTTTCAAGTTTCCCCAGGATCTTTATCTTGATTTCCCCCTCATTGAAAAAAGTGTCAGAAGGAAAGTGTGTATCCTCTAAAAATGACTCAATAATAAACGATTTCATGTAAATGGCTTCATTCAACCAAAAAGACCAATGTTATGTGGTATGCTTATTTCAAAATAATGTGATCCCTGCAATGTAGAAATAGGATCTTTTGACTACCATATTATCATAAGAGTTCTAAAGAATATGTACTAGAGGTATAATCAACTTTATAAAATGATTTCAGCGTTATAGATCAAATAGAATCAAAATCCAAGAAGGAAACAATCATAATTTTAAAAACATATCAAGGGCAGGCTGACCAGTTAGCTCAGCTAGTTAGAGCATAATACTGATAACACCAAGGTCAAGGGTTTGGATCCCCCTAACAGCCAGGCACCAAAAAAAAAAGGGGGGGGG